ACTTCCACGGCCCCAGCGAGGCCGACTTTAGCCACCAGCCCAAGGAGGTCCGTGTTCCGCACTCGGCTGAGGGGTCCCCAAGCCACCAGCAGTTGCCTGGGAAGGAGAGGCAGGACTTGGTCAAGCTATGGACACACGTGAGTTCCCGTGTCGAACGTGGAGGTGCTGCCTTGCACGTGCTTGCACTGGCGTAACCCCCTGACAGTCTCTCTCCTCCCCCCCTCCCCGTAACCTCTGCAGGCCATCGGGGCCACCTTGCTGATCAGCGCCGCCCCCTACTTCATCCTCTTCCTCATCCCCGTGGAGTCCAACACTTCCCAGCACCAGGCCCTGCTCCGGCTACTGCTCAGCTTTGCCTCGGGGGGACTCCTGGGGGACGCCTTCCTGCACCTCATCCCCCACGCGCTGGGTGAGCAGCACACAGATGGACTGGGACACGGGGCCTCTCCCCTCTCAGGGTCCTAGCTCCAGTCCGGCCTGGGGCAGGGGGACTGGCTGGCTCGGGGGCAGGAAATGGGATACGGGGTGTTCCTCTCTTGGGAGGTACCTGGGGTGCGGCCGATCTGGCTCAGGGGGCAGGGAATGGGCCCTGGGGCCTCTTCCTTCTTGGGGGTCTGGTTACTCATCTCTGCCCCTTTCCCTCCCCAGTGCCCCATTCCCACCACGCAGAGGGCGGCCATGCCCATTCTCACTCCCCCACGGTGTCGGCTGGCCACGGTCACTCCCACCAAGGTGAGGCCGGGGGAAGTGGGGGCAGTGGGTGGGGGAGGGAAGGCCAGACAGACCAGGGAAAGGGGGCTGTGGTTGGAGGCTTGTGTGGGGCAGCGTGAAGGGGGGCCCAGAAGGGCTAGGGTTTCTACGGAGAGCTGAAGTGGCTCATGTCTGTGACTGGGACAGGGGATGGGGGTAATGGCTATAGGGGAGGTGTAGTGTGGGGCAGGTTCGTGGGTTAGCACTCTTTCCCCCCACCCTGGCAAGTGATGGCGGTGGGACTCTGGTCCTGGGAGGGGGCTGTACTGTGGTGGGGGAAGGGGGGCTGGCAGTCTCTTTCCCAGCCTGCCCCCATCATCTCTGCCCCCCAGGGCAGGATCACCAGCGGATGATGGCTGTGGGGCTCTGGGTCCTGGCTGGCATCGTAGCTTTCCTGGTGGTGGAAAAGTTTGTGAGACATGTGAAAGGGGGACATGGCCACGGGCACAGCCACGGCGGACACAGCCATGGTACGTACCACACGGGACACACACACACACCATGGTTCCCCCAGCCACGGGCACAGCTGGACCCCCCTACACACACACACGCATGTCCACCCGCCCCCATGGATCTCCCAGCCTTGGGCACAGCCATGGTACGTACCGTCCAGGACCTCCCCTCCCCATGTCCCCCCAGATCCCCTCCCCACATCCCAAACCACACACCCCCCAGATCCCCTACCCATCAGCAGAGCCACGGTGGCACAGCCACGGTACGTACCAGCTGGAACACCCTCCCCCATCTCCAGCACCCCCGGGAGCTCCGTCTGTTTCGCTGAACCAGGAGAAGGCGAAGGGGTGACGTGATCCCAGTCTCCATCCTGCCGGGCTCCCCGGTCTAGCCCAGGAAGGTCTAACGCCATCCACCGGCTGGGGAATG